TAGGCGCGGCTCTGAGAAGAAGACTAAAAAACGCGCATCTAATCAGAAATTAAAAACACCCAATCTTATTGCCTTCAAAACACAATTTGAAAAATCAAAATTTGACATTTTTATAACAAATATCTGCATGCAGCACCAGAAGTTCATCTTCTTTAATCCGACAACAATTTTGGATCACAGCCGCTAGCTAGATTTGTTATTCGAAAATTAGTAAAAACATGTGTTACATGTTGCAAACCTAGAACTCAAACGGCAAGTCAAATAATGGCTGATCTACCAGCACCTAGATTAACACAATATAATGATACGGGTTTCAAATGGAAAGAAATGTCCGGTTCTATATAATAATTCAATGACAGCTTACTTTCAGCATGCCATGATGCATCGAAGACAACACAAAATTTTGTGGTGTTTTTGTTTTCTCTGCATTTCGTCTTCTCTTATTACAGCTTGATGCAATTAAAATACTCTTTTTCAGTCTTAAAATACTCCAATTGTTCAGCGATAACTTCTCATAAATGTTGATCTATCACAGCTTTGGAATGCTCATGAAACTTCGGATTATAGTTAAGTATGCGTCAAACTACCGCAAAATTATACTGCAGCTTCCCTATAGGTTCATTCCATGGCAAACAAACCGTATAACTGCTGTCCCCAAATTTCATGCATTCTAAAAATATTTTAAAGATAACTTCACCGTCTAAGCTGTGACTGTCATTAGATTTATTAGAAATTCCCAGTTTCCAGTTGCCATAAATTTCTTATTAATTTGGACGATAAGTTAATTTTTAAACCATTAACTTGTATCAAATTGTAGAGTTCAGTTTTAAGTTTCTAACCAGTTATTTTATCTTAATTTACTTTTCTATCGCTCTCATTTCTATTTTCCTGCCAAAATATAAATTTCTAGCTGGCATGATATTCAAATCAGGTAGGAAAAAAGAGACTATTTAAAGAAAGGTTTTAGAGGGTAAAATGAGAGTGTGTTCTGTCTGTTTGAAGACCACGCTGCTAATTTGATTCTCTTGTGAACAGTATTCTGGTGGTGTTCAGTTATTCTTACCATTAGGCTTGTTACGCCGACCTCGGGTCAGAGTCAGCTTGCGTGCTATTCCAGTTTTACAGCGTTTGGCTAAACTTACTTTCATTAGTTTTAGTTAATCCATTATCTTTGATTTAAGCCATAACTGTTGGCTTCTGTAAACACATGTTGGTGTTGTCTATTAAACTTTTATTTGATTCAAATAAAAGGGTCCTTTATACCTTTTCCTTGTCTCTGTGGTACTTACCAAGACACAGCGATAATTTGCCATTAGTCTTTCCATGGGTTCTCGTACAATTGATATTACAGGAAAATATTAAACTATAAAATTACGTACGATTTTAAATGTTTCTGTGAAATGCATGCATTTTCTTTTTCACTCACATATAAACAAGTCTAACTTTTAGAGATTTTCTTTACAAAATTGTTTGATAGATCCAGTACAATATTTTTATGCTTTTGAACAGCATTATTTAGTTTCTTAACTAAGAAGAAATGAGAGAAAATAATTATGTTTGTACGTTTATCAATAACTCTGTAAAACGAAATGAAATAAATTAATTACTTTCTTTCAAACATTTTAGTTTACCATATTTCATACATATACACTGCTGACCATTAAAATTGCAACACCAGGAAGGAATGATCTGACGAACGTCAAAATCCCATGAAAGGAAAAAGAGGTTGGAATATGCAAATAATTAGGATCAGAGCATTTAGATGACATAGGAGGGAGAAACAAAGTCTAAAGCACTAAAGTTGTGTAGTGGATTTCTTTGTAAGGTCATAGTTTGCTCAGAATATCATGTTATGCCTTGAATAATAAGAAGAAATGATTACCAGCAAGTGTCGGAATTCGATAGAGGCAGGATCGTTGCCTATCGAGAGTGCGGATTGTTGCCCTAGCTGACAGGGCATTCGATTGCTGCCCTGGCTTGCACGGTCTCCAGATCTGTCACTCACTGAAAACATCTGGTCATGGGTTGCTGAGAGACTGGCCCAGCCATCCGTTTCCAGCTAATAGGGTTAATGAAGTGTGGTATGGACTTGAAGCACCATGGAAGAAGTCGCTTTAAGCGGCTATTTTTATCATCCAAGCCCAGTTGGACTCAATGCCTAACTGGGTAAAGGCCATTTTAGCTACCATGGACGGTAGATGTTTCTACTAATTTCATAATCCTGCAAACCCCCAGACTGCTTACAAATTTGATCATTTTGTCTTCATGCCATATTGTATACACACAATATATTGTATTTGCTTTCCTTCATGGTGTAGTAATTTTAATGGCCAGCAATGTATTTTATTTGCATAATAGCATCACCATTTGCCTGTGAGAGCAGCACACAGCTCACAAACTGCACAATGCCCACCCATTATAGAGGTGGTTAAATGATTAATATTGTTGCATTGTATGGGTTCGTAGATTTGGAGTGACTGATGACAACACTTGATGAAGAATCAAAACACAATTTCTTTAGCCAGTATTACTCAGGGCAGTTTCAAAATCACGTTTTTAGTCGTCGAAACACTATGACAAACACACAGAAACTATCAGCAACACAGCCTTCAGTCTATAATGGTGAAAACAACTTCACAGCAAAACACTAATGTACAGCTCCTGATTCGAAAGATCGCTCTCGGAGATCAAGAAAAAACTCGACGATACACTCAATAGCCTCAACGATGCACTACGATATACTCAATAGACTCGTTGCACTGTCAGCTTTTGGCCTGCCTTCGAGAACATTCTGAGCTAACCAGGTAAGACTTCGTACCAGAATGTTCTCCATCTGCCTATGGCATATTGACAATTTTGTCGCCAAATGGGCGATTTCACGCCAAATCTGGCAACCCTGAACCAGCTTTGCGGGGAAGCTATCTTACCGCAGCAGGACATTTCATAACAACATTATTAGAGTGATAATAACTAATGATTGGTGTGATTTTCCTTAAAATTACGTGAGAAATATGGGTTCATTCAGTATCACTCTCTAGGAAAAAATATCTAAAAAGAATTGGATATACAGTATACGGGGTACATTTTATATGAACATCTACAGTAGCTTCACTTTGAAAATAGTAAACACTTTCTTTTCTTATTGGCATGAAGCACACACTTTTTTGTATTATTTTTAGGTAAGTGTTAATGAAGCACACAGAACAATTTGGAGCACAGTTAAGTTAAATTCACAAAAATAATGAAGGATTCAAATGTTAAATCTGTTTAGATGAAAGCTGTAGTTCACAACATGTTATAGGCACCGAAGTTGAAGATACAAGTAGATTTTCAACAGGCACGTGGTTCAAAAATTCGAATCACTGTTATAAACTCATCTGTTGCAAGTCACCATTTTGGAGATATACTCAATCCTAGTTACTGTAGAAATGTCATCAATCCAGGTTACCACTATCGTGTTTTATCACAGCAGAGAGATTGTAGGGCTATCGTTCTGTGTAGAGATGGGTGTTAATGCAAGAGTAAAGACGATAAGTGTTTTTTTACATCCATTACTTTAATTAGAATGTATATTATTTTAGCACATATATAAAGATGACAAAAACAAATATCACACATGTGTCGCTCGACATAATCAAAGAGTAATTCATACGCTGGTATCCCTGTTAGTGTGTTAATTTGTAGGAAAATCAGCCAGTATTATATGATGCTTCACTTATGGCTGCGAGAGATGAACTATTGGGAGTCGGTCTCAAATTCTTCCTCCTGCTAGACGAGAGGGAGAAAGTTGGTAACACCATCTTTGGGAATCTGGCTGATGAGTTGTCCATATACTGCTCAGTGTACAGACAGAATTCATAATTCAGGAGTGTCGTCATTATAATCTTGATACACCCCCCCCCTCCATCGGACATTTGAAAAATCAGTATTTAAATATTAGCATTTTTTCCTCCCTATATTTTATCTCTTATATAGCATGCAATTCTGAAGTAAATTCAACTTTTCTGAACTACTTCTATGTTTATATGTATCATATAAGCTACTTCGATGCTTACTTTTAATGTTTTGCTTCTTGGCAAAGCAAACTGTCACTAAAAAAATGTGAGCAGAGATACTGATAAATACCGAAAAATTTTCAGTATAAGATAAAGTAACTTTTTAAATCATAATAAAGTAACTAAATTGAAATAGATAAATAATATCATAACAGTAATTTACATAAATTTGTTAAAATAGAATCTTTATTATTATCCCCACATCCCTCCTGAAAAATCGCCACCCACTGGCAACTAATTTTATGCCAAGCTAAGACATGAAAGACAACATTTTCAAGAATGATGGTACCATAAAAATTACATAAAATAGTAATCAATTAACAAAATTAGGAATGCAAAAAAGATCCATAACAAAACACTTTAACCTTTTTGCCACCCACTGTTCTCCTAACGCACACAACTTTAAAAAAAAAAAAAAAAAAATCAGAGAACTGCACAAACTCGACATTGTGCATTAATTAGCAGAGGCATGTACACAGCAATCTGGTTTCACTTCAAAAAATTGAAGAATTGCACAAATTTGGCATCAAGCATAAATTTTAATCTATAAAATTCGCTCATACAACTTCATGAAATGCGAATTTTTGTATTTTTTAATTGTTGGAAAAAATGCCATATTTCCAAAAAAATGCAATGCTTTCTTGTCATCAGTTGGCATTCCATTACCATTCCTTAAAAGAAGGAAAAAATGTACTCGAATATAATAAAAACAAACACTAATCAGAAAAAAAAACCGTCGAATTTGAAAACCGAAATCGGCTGCGCATGCACATGTATACTGGAGTTGACATATTTTTTGGAAAGACATTTTGGTAAGATCACAAACTGCATATTTTGGCAAAATATTGCACTGCTTCGTGAATGCTGTTCAGAGAGATTGCAGATAATTAGAAAGAATCTAGAATCTTATCAAACAATACAAAAGAAAAAAATAATTTTGCATACCTTGTAAACGAGAGCGTATTGTATCCAAAGGAAAAAATATTGTCATTGCAGTAACTCCTCCCTTAAAAAATAATATTATATAATTTTAGAAATGTAATATTTTGCTATAAATGTAGCATAAATAAAATCTAAAAATAACTTTCTGACAATATTAATGATTAATCACAGCTTTCATTTTTATATTAAACATCTGCACAGAATAATCATAAATGCTCCCCTACTAAAGAAAACCTTATATAAGAACTCTTAATATGCTATAGAATAATGTGTTTGAAAAGCTACAAGTCTAGAAATGCGCTAACTGAACCTTAAAATTAGGAAACATTTAACTTCAGATAAATTTACTTAAACAGATAAACTATGTGTTTCCAAGAAATCTGACTATTCTTAATAAAGAAAAATATTAAAATAAAATTCATGAGTAGTTTTTGAAACTGATATGATGTGATTTACAAATGTTTCTGCTGCCCAACCGGGATAGTGATTAGTGACTTTGACTACGGTACCGAAGATCCCGGATTTGAATTTCAGAGTCTGTGTTTGTAATGTATAGTGTCTGTGCAGCATTGGGGCACTCTAAATATTCGGCAAGCCGAAAGTCCTTTCGAGAGGTTGCTGGTAGAAGAAAAGAGGGTGGAAGACCCTCACATTTATCCCCCTGGGGTGCTCTTCTACAAAACTGGGAGCGAAACTGAGCAAAGTCGTCTCTTGCCAACGACAGTGCAATCTTGACTCTTTTTCACGATCCATTTCGTGGGCCTACTCTGATTTTTGACAAGCAAGATTAGTCACAACAATAAATATTTCTGCTCATTACAAAAGTGTTCTGCAATAAATTTCTTTAAAATCAAATGTTTCTTATAAAAACTGATGTCAGTTTAATTTCACCAAATTTCAAAATGCAATGCAATTAATTTGTCATAACATGTTTTCATTGTAATTTAGATAGCATACATATTAAACTACTATTACAGTGGTACATAAAATAGTTAATGTTAATATTTATTATTTCTTTGTTTTCAAATTTATAATCTTTTCACACATAAATATAAGCTATCTTTTATAGACATGAACAGTAAAAGGTAAGATAGCTTTCAAGAAAGCATTTCATTAAAAAAAAATACATAATTTTAAGTTAAGTATGAGCTCAGCCATAAAGCCAGGAGTTAGTTTTTCCCAAACTCTGAAACCAACTAATTCTGCATATAATGTAGTTAATAAGAATGTGCAAAATGCTTGAAATACTCCAAAAGTTACCCCTGCTGTTTGCTGCAACCACTTTAAATAATTTTGCAAATCTAATTATTTCTAATGTTTCTCCTCCTAATAGTAATGCCTATAGTAATAATTACAATGATCACTCAGATATTTCTAAACATTTTTAAGTAATGAAAGAGGTTCAAAATTTTTTTGTATTTAACATTGGCCTGGTAATCCAAATTTACAAAAGTAAGCTACCTGATTTAAGAAAATGTACTGATGTTCTTGACCAAATGCAAATTCTCCACCTAAGATTTGAGGAAATTAACAGGCTTACAAATTACGTTTTTTATGGAGAGCAAGTTTCGAGTTGTAATATGGAACACAAATAGTCTATTTTATGGTAACTGATGAATTATATATGTTTATAAATGAGTATAATCTCAATGTGCTTCTCCTGCAGGAACACAAGCTATGTCTAGGTACTACTTTTGCCATAGCCAATTATGTTATATAAAAACTCGACAGGAGCAGGATGAGTCAGTGCCTCGGAAGGGGTCTGATTGTCCCAATTAAGTGCTCTATCACCCATTATGACACCACACTGCCGCAGCTTTTAGCTCTTGAAGCCCTATCTATCACTGTCACCCTACTCACTTCACAACCACTCATGATCATATCTGCTTATGTTCCACCCAACAAAAGATCACAAATGAATATCACACAAGATTTTGAAGCATTAGCTAGATTCAATAACAAAATTCTCATAGGCAGAGATTTCAGTGCACACCACAATGAATGGAACTGCAATAGTAACACATTTCTACGAAACATAATTCACCGCTTTGCCCATGAGGCCGGTCTTACAACTGCAACTCCACAAACCCCAACACATTAGGACAGTAGTTCAGCATCAGCTCTGAGTTACTTTTTACTCAGGCTGTACCTCAAAGTTTACTGAAAGTCTGAGTGAATTATCCTAAGATCATAACCCAGTTCTGATCTATATGTCCATAATACACCACACAATAAGGCCTTTATTACAAATTGGTCTGGCTTTACCAAAGCCTTAAACAACACCTCACTCCACATTCCAAATGCACACAGGTGATGAGTTACATGCTTTAGTTGGTAACTTCCCCCTAGACTTGAAAAATGCGTTCCAGAAAAAAGTACACCTGTCAATGGCAGCAGAAATAGAAGTTGCAATTCAGAAATTAAAAAACTGATTAAACAGTGAAATGCTGTGAAAAAACAATAACAGCAGTCAAGATATCCACCTCATAAAGTCCTGCTCAATCAACTAAACCACCAGATCAGGACCCTTACATGTCAACATCCAGAACACAACTGGGCCATATATTTATCATCTCTTTCTGCAAAGGAAAACTCCATTTGGAAGGCTACTTCAAGCATTTGAGATGCTACACTAATATTCTACCCTTAACTGGCTCCTAAGGAATTGCCTACACCGAAGCTGAGAAAGCTAAGTCGCTTGCTGATCACTGTGCTTCTCAGATCTGCACAAACAACATATACCACCCACCCACAGAACACATGGCTGCACAATCACTCACAAAATTCCTTACAAAACCCCACACGAGGCTGCCATAAATCCATGATTATGTTGCCAAGCAGAAGACAAAAAGTCCGGGGATGGAATCTCATTATGAGCAAGATGCTGATAAATATCGAAGACTTATGCTACGTAAAATGAAAAAAATTATTAATGACATGCTCTGCCTTAGACATTTTCCCACCTCCTGGAAATTTGTGGTTATTTCTGGGGTGTTAAAGCTAAGTAAACCTCAAAATAATCCAGTATCCTACTACCCCTATCAGCCTCCTCTCATCTATCAACTTCTTAGCCCCATACTCTAATATTTTCCAAAATGACATTCCACATATACCACACACCCTTCCTGCTATGTATGCAGATGATACGGCAATTCAATCACAAAATGCATCTCATGGCTCAGTTATATATTCACTATAGAATCACTCACATGCACTGGAGTCCTGGCTTCAGGTATGGAAAATCCAAATAAATGTTGAAAAGTCTGATGCCATTCTGTTCACAATATTGATGCAAGTATCCATGTGAATATGTTCAACGCACCTATCCCCTGAACCAAGGAGGCCTGCTGTCTTGGAGTTACCCTTAATCACTATCTCACATAGTCCCCACACAGCTTTTAGCAAAGTTCCGAGTGTGTAAACGTACACTTGCCCCCTTAATTACTTAGAACAACATTCTTTCTACTGATAAGATACTCATTTAAAAGACCATGTTGCATCACTTACTTAGTCTATGCCTGCCCTGTCTGGAGCTATGCTTGTAAAATTTCCCTGAATAAGTTGCAAATACTGCAAAATGTTGTGATTCGACAAGTGGTGGATAATCGTTCATTCATTAGGAACTCGACAATCCATAGCCTATTAAAAATTCCTGAAATTCAGTGTTACACAGCTTTGTCAGCTGAAAAAATATTTTTGGCAAAATTCCATTGGTATAAAATAATACCATTTCTGTATTGAACTATGATTAGAATTGTCAAGCGAATAGAAAATAGCTGCTTGCGATCAATTGTAAGGCATATAATCTAACCATGTTATTGTGGTTTCCTATACATATGCATATATGTAGAAAAATAATAATAATAGATATATTTATATATACAGGGTGTTTCATAGATCATGGGACAAACTTGGAGGGGTGGTGGAGCATACTAAAACATCCATTTTTTATACAGGAATACAGGGTCTAAAGTGACAGGTTAAGGCAGGAATGCAAAAAAATGACACGAGAGGAAAATGTGTTTATGTACAAAATCAATGCAACGTGCTTCTTTGCAGCAATACAGTATTCACTATAAATGTTCAAAAAAGGGAACACTAACAGTAATAGGAACTACAGCTGTGATTGGCTGGCAATGGACTGGTAGAGGGCGGTAGTAAGCCGGACAAACCACAATCCGATGCACCAGGGGATCATTTGCAACTCTGATATCGAGCGTGATGGGTGAATTTACGCACAGGAAAAAAGCTGACATGCATCTCATGTACTATAGTGGCGCTAATGGGAATGGCAAAGCAGCACTACGGTTGTACCAGGAACGGTTTCCAAACAGGCATATGTTGAAGCACACAATGTTCGAGAGGTTGCATCGGTCTCTGTGTGAAAACGGGTCATTTGAAACCACCTCTGACACTAGGAGAGGAAGAAGTGCACAATGACCTCGCATTGAAGAACCCATCTTGAACATTGTACATGAATCACCTTAGACAAGTACAAGAGCTATTGCACATCGTCTGCAGCTGAGTCATTCCACCGTTCGGAGAGTATTGCATTAAAATGGTTTGCACCCATACCATTTGCAGAGAATCCAAGCCTTGCAAGAGACAGATTACCCTCTTTGAGTTCATTTCTGTCACTGGTTCTTGCAGCTGTGTGCGGCGCAGGCGGTTTTTCTATTGGATGTGCTATTCACGGACGAGGCAACTTTGTCACAGGACGGCATCTTGAATAGTCACAACATGCATGTGTGGGCAACTCATAGTCCACACGGCACACGTCCACAGGCATTCCAAACCCACTTCTACATGAATGTGTGGGCGGGTATTGTTAACGATTACCTCATAGGCCCATACCTCTTACCTGCACATAAAAATGGGTTATGTTATCATATTTTTCTGCAAGAGGTGCTACCGTAATTGCTGCAAGATGTTCCGGCTCCTGTTCGTGATCACATGTGGTTCCAGCATGATGGTGCACCAGCCCATAACCACATGCGGGTCCACAATTACTTGGATGAGACATTTGCAGGTCGATTGATTGGCCATGGTGAACTTGTTCGATGG